CCGCTGCCAGGCAGAGTGTTTTAGCAGCAGGAGCACTTGGCACACCCACGCCGACGCACTCCCTCTGCGCTCCGTTGGCTTTTCGTTTTCATTCAAATTTGTGTTTGATTTTGTTTCATGGCGCGTGTTGTTTGTACAGCTGGCCTCTCAAAAGCACCGCGAGTCTGCCTCCTACCTGTACGACGGGCACGCCTCCGCAAAGGGGAACACCGGCGACCGCAACCGGCGCTACAAGGACAGGAACAAGGTGGGGCGTTAGCGCGGCCGTAACGTATCGCTGCGGTAGGCGGTGCGTATTGATGGAAGTCTTGGTTGGCTCTCTTTTGTCTGTTTTTCTGTTGCTTATCTTTGTGCGTATGTCTGTTACTCTCTCTCACACACACCCACACACACACAAACACACACACACACACACACACATTTGTCCCCAACGGTACGCCCATGTAGGTATCCGTGTCTCTGTACGGTAGAGGCGATGGCATGGTGGCACACAGCGGTATGATGAATGCTCCCCCCGATCTCACTCTTGAAATGTATCGCCTCTTGTTGCTACGACAGGGCGGCGGTATGTCGGACGGAAACGGGGACGACGGTCGAAACGGCAACAACCTCCTCGACGTCGAAGGGGCCCCGGGGGTGGAGTACCTATCCCCCGCGGAGCGCGCGCTATGCTCGCAGCTGCATCTTCTTCCAGGGTACTACCTCGTCATCAAGGTAATTAAATAACTCTTCCATGACGTACGCTGCATTTCTCTGTCCTGCACGCTTCAGACGGACACTGTCGATAGCCACATCAAAAACTACCCTGTAAACTGCCACAATGATTGTGCGTGCTAGTTCATGCCAGACGGTGGTAGTTGGCTCTTCATGGTGCCGTTTGTTCATTGTCTTTTGGCGTTGCTCGTGGGTTGTTGCCGCCTACCCTGCGTTCTTGCTGCCCCCCCCCCCTCCCCTGTCTGTCCTTGGTTTTCAGAACGCCATGATTCAGGAGTGCGTCAAGTCCGGCTGTCTGAAGAAGAGCAACCTGGCCGGCCTCGCCACATTGGACAAGCCACGCCTAGATAAGGTACGTACATGTAGACAAGGTCGTTACGTGTGGGTGAATACATGTACAACAGGTCGGCACTACATGTACACGCCGAAGGCAAGGTATCACTTTTTCGTCCCGTGCGCCCTGGTTGTGCCTCGTTGTTATATTTCACCCCATTGTCAACTTCTGTCGCTCGCGCTTTCTTATAATTCCCACCGCCTGACTTCGACGTAGTTTTTGTTTGTAGATGCTGTTGTTTTAGCTGTGTTGCACTTTGTTTGATTCGTGGGCTGTAATTGTGGTGAGCCTCTACTGTACCCACTTCGCCTTTATCCATGCAAACTCGCTTGTTCACATCGCAGCCTAGGAGGTGTAAGAGACACACAGCAGTATGAGAGCGACAATGACAATCGGTTTGTCCACAGCGCAACAAGTGCGTGGTTGTTGTATGCAATTCCGACGCTGCTCGTCGACGTTTGAACGCCCACTGTGCCGGGTGAGCTTTATCTCGGATGTGGTACCATGCGCTTCGTGTTTTCTTCTGGTCTCGCTGTCGTGACTGACTTACCATGGTACACGTTTTTTTACACGGTTTTTCCCACGGTGCTAGCTGGCACCACGTATCGCCATACGTCTGCGGTACTTCGTTGGCGGCGTGGAAAAAACCTCGCCACACGAAAACCGCCTTTTCTTACACCCCCCGGTTTGCTCTTCCGACTGGTCAGATGTACGACTTTTTCTCCACGTGCGGCTGGGTGACGGAGAAGCACCGAGACTTCGAGGTCAGCGGTGCGGCCGCCAACGCCATTCCTGGCAGCCCCCCGGCTTAGGCGATAAACGCGTTGCACCGCCGTGACGGACGGACGGACGGACATGACCGGCCGAACGCGGCATCTTGGGGCCATGTTTTTCCGGAGCTCACGAACGATTCTGTGAGGGGTCTAGCATGGCCATAGCTGATCTGCGGTGGCGGCTGCTGCTCTTTCAAGAGGGGTTCTGGGTGCGGCGGCGTTGTTAGCGCTTGGCGGCGGTGGTTTCTCTTCCCGTCGCAGCAGCTCTCGGGTTGTGCGATATCACAACGTAAACCTGTTACGTGTCTTCGCCTTTTCGTTTTGCCAACCAACGCCATCGCCGTCGGCGCTAGGTGGAGGGCAGTAGGTGGAGGCCATGCCTCGGCGTTGATAGGTATGACTTTTCTGCCAAGCCAAATGTTCCCGGCTCATGAGCGCAAGCGGCTGCCCTCTACCCGCCGCGCAGCAGACTTCATGGATTTGTTTTATTTTTTTCGGATCAAGTTTCGACCGCAGCGTCGAGGCATCAGTAGTAGCAGCAGCAGCAGCAGCAGCAGCAGCAGCAGCGAGAGGTTGTTGCAATTTTGACAGCCCATGTGCCGGAGCATTGTGGCGTTTGAGATTTCCTTTGGCGCCCCGCTTGGTTTGGCGGAAAAAGTCAACGGCAAGAATCCCTTGCTTGATCCTTGGACGTGTGCTGGGTCAAAAACATTCAACCGCCGCGTGGCTTGACCTCGTGTAGTTATTTCGGGGAGGATATATTAAATATCGCATGAAAAAATATATTATTGGGAAGAGACCAAGAACGTCGTTGTTTTTCCGCCGCTGCATCATCTATGAAAAGTTTGCCGGTTGTACCAATATCATGCAGTGTAATGATATTGTGTCGGGCTTCCTGGGGGGGGGGGGGGG